CGCCAACTGGTTTCCAAAGGTGCCCTACTACGGCCTCTACGGCCTGGGCTTGCCCTGCCACCACCACCACCACCACCACCACGCGTGAAAAGGGGCAAGCGCAGAGAGGGGTGTGTGCTTGCAAACTGCTTTTCGTCGATTGTACTCCTCTCTCTCTCGCTCGCTCGCTAGCGGGGCCCGTCGCACCATTCGACCTCTGCCCGCTCCCCCACCGGCGTCTCATTCCAACGCTCATCTCCTCAGCGGCCCGCACCTCTCTGCGCTGCCACCACTCACCCTGTCCCGTGCCCTTCTCCGCGGTGACGGCCTCAAAGGCAGGGAGGAAGACGCCGGAGACGTTTTCCTGCCTGGCGTGCACCTTAAAGCTTGCGTTCTTGACGCTCTCCCGAATCACGAATCCGACATCTCCAGTGGCGTACTGCACCTCTGCGAGACTGAAGGCGGCGAGCTGCATGACGCGGCCCATCTTGCGCTTGGCGGCGTCGATCTTGTGCGTGATGGTGCGGAAGCGCTTGGTGAGGGCGTCGGCCTTGCGCTTCAGCAGCGAATGCCCCGTTTGTGCACCCTTCAGACGCTGCTTCGTCACGTTGAGCGTCATGCGCGTGGGGAAGACGGCCTCGCGCGCGCCCTTGCCGGACATGGAGATGAGGCAACGCTGCAGGTGGAGATGAGGCGACGCTGTGGGCGCACGGGCGCTCCTATCATCGCACACAAGCTGGGCCGATGCGGCGCGACGATACTCGGAGTCGCTCGCGCATCTGCCGCCTCCACCCCGCACTCCGAGCGGCGCGCGCTGTGCACTGGCCACTTTGAATGCCTGGCTTTGCCTCAGCTCGACTGGCAACTTGGGCGCAGCTGGCTTGCCCTTTCTTCCACCACCACCGCGCGCTGCACCGTCCCAGGCCGCATGCCTCTCCTCTCTCCCCTCTCCCTTCCCCTCCTCCTCCGCACCCGCACGCGCTTCATGTCCTCTCTGCCCGCCTCCATGCGCGCCATCGGCATTTCGCGCACGGGCGATCTCAGCGTGCTCGAGCAGCGTTCTCTGCCCGTGCCTGTGCCGCAGGCAGACGAGGTGCTGCTGAAGTGCGAGTGGGCAGGCGTCAACTTCATCGACACGTACCAGCGCAGTGGTCTCTACGCGCTCCCGCTCCCCTTGACGTTGGGGCAGGAGAGCGCCGGACGCGTGGTAGCGCTGGGCGAAGGGGAGGCAAGCGATGGTACCCTCAAGCTCGGCGACAAAGTGGCGGCGTATGTCGGCGGCAGCTTCGCAGAGTATGTCGTTGCGCCGCGCAGCAAGGTGGTGAAACTGCCGGAGGGCCTAGAGACGAGGGACGCTGCGACGGCACTGCTGCAGGGCCTGACGGGTGAGTTTGGTTACTTGTGCCCCCCAAGAAGGGTGGCAGGCAACTCGGCTTGTTGTAGAGCGCCGCGCGCGCGGGGGGGCCGGGAAGATGCCACAATGCCATTGCGAGAGGGGGGGGG